TACAATCGTTGATGTTTCAAAACCCTCAACTTAAGTTTAGCTCGGTATAGTATCTCAAAGTATCAAGTGTGTAGCGAATAACCTTTAAACATTCACTCCATTGTTATAAAGGATTTTAATTGCGATTTGAAGATATCACCATACGAAATTGAACTTTCCTACTTCTGTGCTTTCTCTGATGTTATGTCCATCATCGGGGGTTAACTCATGGTCTTTGAAATTAAAAAAAGGAAGATTGTTGAATTGACATGGTCTCTCATAGGAGCTTTCTTATCAGAGCTCTAAATGTGAAAAAAAATATTAGAAAAGGATAAACATTACTCTGTTTTCTCACATTTGTAGCATGGTTCAAAACGTGATGTGATTGGCGATAACAAAGCTTTGACGGAGATTTTTAATGATTTTCTTCACTTTTTTGATCAAAAGGAGTTGCTAGATATAGGTATTAGGTTATGTCTTAGCTTTGAATATAGTGCTACCTTCGACTGATTCTCCATAGTTGAAAATGCATATCCTTTTCAAACTTAGGCACCTCTCAGTTCACGATAATAGGTTACTGACGAATTAGTAAGCACAATAAGGGCTTTGAATTCTAAAAACTGTAGAATATAAGATGCTAGTTTGCTCAAGTACATTTTTCAAGGGGAATAGTCAAAGTAGAGTGCAACAGCCAGGCAGTCAAGCCTAGCCCTTTTAGTTTGATAATTCAAAATTCCAAATATTGAGTTCAGAAAAAAATTGAAAATTTCTGAACACTCTTAGTGTTATTCTACTCATTTAATTGTCAAATTACTTAGATATTTAATAATTTTCTATGCAAAATGTTGAGCTTATCCATTTCAGCTATTGTGACTATGGGTAAATCTCGAGAAGCAAAGAAACCTCTGATACCGCAAAACCTTGACGATATTGTCGTTTTGGGAAGATACACTCTGTTGGTATGCCTTCTGACAGAGTTCGCCTTCCTTTCACAGCTTTCCAATACAATGTACATGGTTTACGCAGGTATCGTAGCTTCTTATCACCTGCTTATCTTCTGTTTAACAGCACAAAGACTAAGAAAGCTGAACACGTGCGAAATGAAAAGGAAGCAGAAAAGCCAAAGATAGATAATGTGAACTTGAACCTGTAGGGCTAACATTGTGGTTCTAGAAAGTAACGCAACTTTAAAGTCCCCTGATTAGAATATTGACTAAAAATTTCGATTAAGAAATTTCACTAGAAATTACTGTTAAGAAAACTGGTTTGTTCAAGGTTCGTCACCAGCAATCAAAGGATGCGGGAACATAACATTTGCAAGCATGGATGACGCTTGCGCCAATCTCCATTCATGCGAAGATGCTCCATTGGAACTGGAAAGCCAGTTCTATTCCGTAAACGAAGAGGTATTATTTTAAAGTAATCACATTGCAATGGTTTTATAATTCCCTTTTTCACCTCTAAACACTCAAACTAATCTTAGAAACCAGTATTCGGTGTTTGTAATTTATCAGAAGTGCGCCTCGCTCGTAAATCACTGGCGGTGATAGGTCAGCTCAGCGATAAAAAGATGAGTCGTTTCCGAGCAGACTTCCTTTAACTATTAAGAGTGTTGTCTATCTAATTTAATTTCTAATTTTTTGTAGGAAGAAGGAGAAGGAAGAAAATAAATTGAAGCTTTGGCAACCAAAAACCAAATTTGAATGTAGACTATATTTGGGTAGCTGCGCATATAAGTAGTCAATGGTATAGACACATCTCTCTACCGCTTTTAACAAAAAAGCTTAGCCTTATCCGATCTGCAGACTGTCGGCTTGGTAATCCCCAGTAGCATTTTTTCAATATACTCTTACTAGACCGTCAAGCACTCAAAAATTACTCAGAAAGTGAAAGAGCTCCTGAAAGGAATGACAATACTTATAAGTAATGATTATCGAAGAGGAGGTAAAAGATGAGAAGTTGATAAAAGATGTGAGCTCTTAAAAACTGCGTTCATTCACAAACATAATTGAACAATAAATTTTCATTTTCTCAGTGGGGGATCCACTGCGAGAACAGATATTTGGAACGAAGGAGCAC